GAAGGAAGATGGGGCAATCTACTTCTGTAGTGATACTGCCTCAGAAACCCAAGGAGGGGTCAGTATGAGTCGGGTCCGACTCGAAGGCACATAACAAGAAGATAGCAGTGCGTGCGTAAAGTGCCTAAAGAACTATACCAATCTCACAGAACATAAAATACTTACGTTCTCCAGTATTTTACTGGAGCTGTGGAAAGTCAAGGCTTAATTTCAATAAACCCACATATAAACAAACACGGTTACCAAAAAACCTTTAGGTCTCAGTAATTCTGCAATTAATTCTAGATACTACATCGATTCTGGTAAAGTTACTGTGGCACCAACATATGTATCACTACAAAGAACTCAAGTCAAACATGCATAAATTTATGCACAGCCACACAACAGTGTGAGGCACTAATTAAAGCTGTGTCTGAAAACACTGGACAAGTGCATTTTTACTTTCATCCTTCATCTTGTTAACATACTAAGCAGTAAAGCAATGTTCAGGAAGAATTTGCTTCTATGAGTAATGTTAATCCAGTCAGCTGCTTCTGAAAACCCTAATGTTTTCGTCACATAACTGACATGTCCCGTACCTTTAGTAGAACGTATTATCACACTGCACACTTCTACGTATAAAGAAGTGTCTGGCAATCAAGTATCCTGTGCTGAAATTCCAAAACGGTGGGGAATTCTGTTTCTCAATTAAAGACACTGAAAATGCCACAAAAGTAGAGTGGAAAACATAACACTATCTTCACTGAGAGATCCAACCAACCAACTTACTGCCGTAGAGTCGGATTCGACTCTAAGCGACCCCTCCTTGGGTTTCCGAGGCGGTATCTCCAAGGAAGTAGATTGCCCAACCTTCCTTTCGAAGAGCGGCTGGGTGGTTTGAACCGAGAGATAGCCGCTGGTAAATAATCAATTCCATTTATTGACCACCAGCTAAACACCATTCTGTTCTCACATCTCTCTGCACGTTATTATCCCCATGTATAGAGGACAAAATTAAGAGTTCCAGAGCCACGAACTCGGCTCTATTTAATGAAAAAATCATGGCCTCTGATGGCCACTAAAAACACAATCAACTTTTGAAAAATATATCCAGATGAGTAAAAAGTTGTTGGTTTAACCTCAGCATTACGACAATCTTAATGGTGCATAACGTTTCCGGAACGTAAGCAGTAAATTGACACACCTGCCATTTTTAGATTCTTGGCATAAAAGTGTACTGCTTCAACTTAGCGTTTCTTTTTTGCAATCACAAATACAGAAAATGCCACGAGAATTTATCATGTGGATTTCTGAAACGCTGTTTAGCTGCAGGATGGATTAAAAGGCATTTTTAATGTGGATAGTTCCCTTGAAATACTACTACGGGGGGAGCGGGGATGAGGTGAGTGTACAAGGTCCCAACTCAACTCCAATTCCGAAGCTTCCAACACAGAGAACCCATGAAATCTGGAGTTGACTTTGAGCCAGGATTGGAAGAGCTCTAACGCAAAAACCCTCACCACCCAAGAGGCCCCAATATGCAATCTGTGTGTGGATGGGTTGGATGGCAGGATTCGCGAGATACCGAATAAAAGGGCTAACGATTCCACAGCGGAAAGAGGCGAAGAACTCACTTCACCACCACTCACCCTCCTGTGACTGCGGCAGACGAAACCTGATACTTTCTTTTTTTAAGACTCACCGTCTCTGGTTACCATCTCCCAGACCTTAAGCCCAAGCAGGTCCACCCAGGCCTAGACGCCGCATCTCCCTCCCCCACCTGTAAACCTACGCCAGAAAGCCCAGCTCGGGTCCCCAGGCCGCCCCGACCTCCCCTCCCCCTCGGGCCCCACTACCAGGCGCTCCCAGGCCGAGGCCTCCCGCTTCCCGCGGGCGTGCTCCACGCCATCTGCCACCAGGCCTTCGGCGTCCGGCCACTGCTCCGCATTCTCCTCCCACAAAGCTCGGGGCCAATTCCGAAGGCCCCGGGGCCCTGGGCCCTGGGCCCGGCCGCGCTCGAAGGCCACAGGCCGCACCTCGCGTCGCCGTCGCGGAGACCTCTTGGGTGCGCTGGAGGCTCCCCCACGCGAGTGCACAGCAGGGCCCTGCTCGGGGCTGAGACCCGGTCGCGCAAGCAGGAGACGCCGCACCGTCCCCCGTCCCGGCCCAGCGGCCCCCTCGCACTCTCGGCGGCCCGCGCGCGGCCGCCCTCGCCCCGCCGCACATACCGTCTCCTCCGGGTCGATGTCGATCTTGAAGGTCTGCTGCTGGAGGGTCTTCAGGGTGACCTGCATGGTGCCACCGCGCAGCTCCTACTGCGGGCCTGCTCCGGGTGCTGGCCGCTGGGCGGGGTCTGTGGCCTGGCCGGGCCCCGGGGTCGCCGGCGCTCCTCGCGCACTTGGGAGGAAGGCAGTGGGGGTGGGGGCTTGTCACATTCGCCCTGCGGAGCGGCCTCTCCCCCAGCCCTGGCCCGGGCCGCGCCGCTGCCTCCGCGACTGCGGCTTTCCACGCGAGCTCAGGCCGCGTGCGGCGTCAGCCACTGAACCTGCAGGAAACGCGAGGAGCTCTGAGCGACAAGCAGGGAATCCACTAGCTCACCACAGGATGGTCGCCGCCATCATCGTGACTCGCCGAGATGCGCCCCCTCCCCCACCCAAAAAACCTGGGGATGGGGCCGGGCTGGCGGAAGCGCGCAGGCGTCGGGTGTAGAGAGGTTGTGCGCAGGCGCGGTGAAGAACTCCTCCCCGGAATTGGGGGCGGGACGCATTGCAGCTTTGGAATGTCGGCGGCCAGAATCTGGCTTGCGCAGGCGCACGCGGTGGACGGCTCTGGCGTCTCAGTCTCAGGGCTTCCCTGTCGTGTCTGCCGCTCGAGCGTTCTCCCAGCTGCCTCCGCCCCGCCTACGCCGAGACCCCGCCCGGCCGCCGGAGTTGCGCAATCCGTAGCCGAGGAAGCGCTACGTGGAGACCGGACGGAGCGGCTGCTGAACCTCGGGGATGGAGAACTAGAGGGCAGTAGATCGGTGCAGTTTAAGTGAATGGGTCCAGGTAACCACAGTATTGGGCGCTTGCTATGTGCCTGAGGCTGTGTGATCCTGCCTGATTCGTCAGTCTTGAGAGCACAGACTGCAGTGCTAGACTCCTTGAGCTCACGTTTTGTCTTATTAACTTTGTGAACTTAGGCCAAACTAGAAGGACCTAACGGAGGTCAGGTTATGTCACTCTTTTGCGCAGACATCTCCACTGATTCCCCATTTCACCTAGACTAAAACTCCAAGCTGTTACAGGTGTCTGCTCGTCCCCGGCATCGCCTTCCTCACACTCCTCGATCCCGGCGGCTCTTAGGCGCGCTCCCGCGGAGCGCTGGCGGCGTGTGCCCACTCCCGGATTCCTCTTTCCCCAGATAGCTGGGTCTCTCGCTCTCTCGCCTCCTTAAAAGCTTTGCTTAGATGTCACCTCAGTGAGATATTCCAGACCACCCTGTTTAAAATCTCAAAACTCCTCCAGCTCTGTTATTCTTTTTTTTTTTTTTTTGTAGTATTTATCACTTATAATTACCATAGAAGGAAGGAGCCCTGGTGACAGTGGTTATACACACAGCCGCTAACCGAAAGGTCTGTGGTTCGTGGCTGAACGCTGTGGCAGTCTCCTTATGTAAAGATTGACGGCCTTGGAAACCCGTTACCTTGGCACAATTCTACCCTGCCCTCTAGGGTTGCTATGATGGACTAGATGGCAGTGGGCTTGGTCTGGGTTAATTGACATACAATGTGCATGGTTTTTATGTTTATGGTCTTTCTGTCTTTGCCCCACTGGACCCCAGACTGAAAACTGCACAAAGGGGGGATTTTGTCGGTTTTGTTCATGGAGATTATCCTGGCATCTAGGAAACATACCTGGCACATAACAGACATGCAGTAACTATCTCTGGGATGACTGAAAGTGCTTCTGGTTTCTCAGCGGTGAAATGGGGATCATATGCCACAAAACAAAACGTGTATAAATTGTTGAACGGGAAACCAGTTTGCTCTGTAAACTTTCACACAAATCACAATTTAAAAAGGAAAGGGGGTTATAAAAAGAATAGTACTGAACTCACTGTTGGAGAGAGTGTTAAATAATATCTGTAAGATTTTAGTGCCTGGAACATTATATGGTACTCCATGTGTGGATAGCTATTATTGGTATGCTCATTTAGGACAGAGATGTGAAGTAAGGTGCCCTGAATCACCCACCTAATAAGTGGAAGATCCAGAATTTAAACTCAAGTAGAATGACTCCAGAGCCTGTATTCTTGGGTGCCCGGCTATTCTGCCTTTTGTTAGGGTTCCTTGTGGCATCTAACTTACCATGAGTGGTTCAAGTATAAAGTAGACCACTAACTGTGTAACTAATTGCAAATTACCTCTCTGGGCCAGCATCCTCAGTGATACAGTCCTGTTGCTTGGATTCCCATGGATTCTAGGAGCTTGGATATCATTCTTCCATGAAACTTTTCGTGACCAATGATCCTTGTCACTAACGTGGTATTTCCCCTTTCACAGCACAAGTGGCTACTAGATCCTTTCCTTCCCTCACTTATTTGTACTTTTAATTGCAATGTAGTGATTGAGATAATTCACATTGTAATTGAATGTCTAATGCTCTGCTCACTCCCCCAGCTCTCATGTATATCTAGGCTTGGTCAACTGGTGACCTCAGCTTGTTCCTTGTTTTGAAACTCCATCCTGGACCTCACCCCTTAGCTACAAATAGAGTTGGCCAATTGCCTACACAATGTCTTCACTTGAAATATAACAAGCCTCTGAAACATAAGAGGCCGAACAGAACCACTGACTTCCCTCTGTAGCCAACCCCCACTCCCATCCCCACCCCATCCCTAACCTGCTTCTCTCCCAGTTTTCCCTGTGTTAGTTCATGGCATGGCTCTACCATCTACACAGGTACTCAGGTTAAAATTCTAGTTATTATCCCAGAGAAAACTGCTTCCCTCCTTCTGCCACAATTATCACATCCAATCCATTATCAAGTCCTATCAAGTTGATTCTCCAAACTATATCCTAAATTCAGTCATTTCTACCATTTCTACGTTGGCAATCCTAGGCTCTACCATGTTCCTTCATGTGTCTCCCAACTAGTCTCTCTGCTTCTACTCTTTTCCCCCATAGCTTCCCCAGCAGCCAGAGTGGACTTGTTCTACCATGAATCTGATCATGTCCCATCTGTGCTTAATACCCAATTACAACTTAGAATAAAATTCTCAAATTCTTCTCCTAGCCTTAGAGAGCACATGTCATCTGGCTCCTGCCAAATATGCTGGATCTTGTTGTTGTTGTTATTTAACGTGGACCCGACTCATAGCGACTCCTCCTTGGGTTTCTGAGGCAGTATCACTACGGGAGCAGATTGTCCAACCTTCCTTCTGAGGAGTGGCTGGTGGATTTGAACCGCCAGCCTTCTGGTTAGCAGTCAAGTGCCTTAGGTACAACACTACCAGAGCTCCTCTTTCATTCTCTCTCCCCCTCAAGCACTGACATCCTCTGCATTGCCCTTCTTCCATCCCTCAAAAAGGCTCAACTGATAGCCTCAGGGCCTTTGCACTTGAGATTCCTTCCATTTGAAATATTATCTTGCTGGATCTTTGAAGCTAAATGCTTTTCATCATTCAGGTTCTAAGTCAAATTTTCCTTTCTTAGGACTCCAAGACTATAGTAATGTGTAATTAACAAGCAAAGATGTCACTTTGAAGGCTAAGGTGCACCCGACCCAAGTCACTTCATATGTATGCAAAAGCTAGACAATGAATGAGGAAGATAGAAGAAGAATCGATGCATTTGAATTATGGTATTGGTGAAGAATATTGACTGTTCCATGGACTGCCAGAACGAACAAATCTGTCTTGGGAGAAGTGCACCTGGAATGCTTCTTAGAAGCAAGGATGGTGAGACTTCATCTCTTGTACTTGGGTCATGGTATCAGGAGGGACCAGTCCCTAAGGAAGGGCATCATGCTTGGTAAAGTAGAGGGTCAGCGAAAAAGAGGAAGATCCTCAATGAGATTGTCACAGTGACTACAGTAATAGATTCAAGCAGAGCAAGGATCGTGAGGACGGTGCGGCCAGACAGTGTATCATTCTGTTATACATGGGATCACCTTTGAGCCGAAATGGACTTGAAGACGTCCAACAACAACAACGTAATAATGCACGATTAAATATATAAGCCCTTACTCCAGGCAGTACCTTGTTCTAGGCACTTTACTTGGGTAATCTAATTAAATTTTTCATGGCTGTACCTGAAATTATTGTTTTTTATAACTTGTTTCTTGTCTCCCTCATCACTGCTCCCCTTCCCCTTAAGTCTACTTAGGGAAAAGAACGCACTGTTTCGTTCACAGCTGTTTCCCAGCACCTAGAATAGTCTCTGCAACACAGGAGGTGCCCAGTAAGCATATATTGTCTGACTCCCAACTAAATTGTCAGCTCCATTAGGCCAGGTGTTGTGTCAGTCTTGATCATCACAGGATCTTTATAGCACGGCATGGGGTTTGATATTTCGGGGTTGGAAGAAAGAGTGAAGTCACTTTCAGTGATAATTTACAACAGTTGTAAGAAAATATGTGAAAACATTTTAAAAACTGGAATATGCTGTACAATGTTATAATATTAAATCTTTTTCTGCTACAACTACTCCTGTTGCCATCTACAGGGGAAAAAAAAGAGGGAGGGAGAAGATGCTTCTGCATATATCAGAATATGTTTGTTAAAGGCGCAGTTGTCTACTCATGGAAAGTAAAATTATCAGCTTAGAAAGGGGTGTTTTGAAAATAAAAGTCTCCCTTCCCTCTCCTCTTCTCAGAAATAACCATTGCTTTGAGTATCTTTAGAAATTTTGTAGAGGTATACAACAATATATAGCCCCAAATATTTTTGATAAGATAATCTTAAGATACACATTTTTTCTTTTCTCAGTTTCTAGAAAAACTGCATCCCAGCCACACCCACTCTTGGCCTGGTGACACAGGTTGGATGGACTGTATGTGTCTTGGTGGGATAAAATTGCCTAAGCCCCACAATTTGCATATTAGGACCCCCCAACTCCTACCCAGGAGCCACTGGGGTGAGGGTGCTGGGGAACAAGCCCTCCAGGCAAGGCCCTGGGCCTCCTTGCTCCTGGAGTGGCTGGCGGTGGGAGGGAGTCATGGACTTCAGATACTGGGGAACTAGCCAGGGAATCCTGCTTGCGTTTTTGGAAATCAGTCAAGTGATTTCAGGGAAGAGGATGAGCAAGCAGAGATGAAACGGCTCTAAGTTAAAAATAATAATAATAACAGCCAGGGTAGAGCCAGACTTCAAACCATTCATTCACTCAGTAGTTAGTGAGACTCATACCAGCAACTGTTCTGAGTGCTGGGGATACAGCAGACTATGATACACAATCTCTGCCCTCTTGGAGTTCTGTTCTAGGAGGATAATAAATAAACAGATAATAAACTAAAAATCAATTTATATCAGATGATAGCACTGTTAATTTTTTTTTTTTTTTTTTTAAAGGGCATATGAAGAGGATTAATAGTGCTGAGGAATCCCCTGGGTGGCACAGTGAAGTGCTTGCTCACTAGCCAAAAGGGAGGTGGTTTGAATCCACTGTCAAGTATCTTGGAAGACAGT